TTTGTTTGGAAAAGGGCTCTGGAACCAGGAGTGAGGGAACAGAGAGAATGAGACAGGGAAGGAGAAAGGCTAGCGCAAGGGTTCATTGTCAAGGTCGCTGCAGCAGGTAATAAGACTCAGTTCTACAAGGTGCACTAAGAAGCTGGTAAGCACCTCCCAGAATCGTCTGAGTGCAAGGTGGGCAACTTCCCATCAAACTCCATCCCCTACCAGTTGAATGTCACCTCCAAGGGCGTTGATTTCCCAGGCCTTGTGAGTGGCACTTATAAGCCAAACAAGCTCCAAGCTCCCACGGCTTGACAGAAAGCCCTGGGGCAGAACAGAGAAAGTTGCACAGCATACCCTTGACGTGAGATGCTGGCAGCTGGACTTGAGCCTTTAGATCATTGAACTGTCCGCCACATGCGGGCTGAAATCAGAGGTGAGCCATGAGTCTGTGATGCCAATGCCAGAGGCATTTGCCCTGCCTCTTATCGCACCAACTCACACTGCAAGTTTCTTAGGGCAAAGGCTGGCTGGCCTCCGCAGCTGTGACCAGGCAATGGACCTAGCATGGTGCCGGATGTTTGGAAGGAGGTGAGACAAGTATTTCCTAGAAACAAGTTCAGAATAAATTATTCTTATTTCCAGAAACAAGTTCAGAATAAATCAATCACATATCACTTATCCCCCAATGCCTCTATTCTTTTTTCCCATCTTTCTGATTCCTAATTTCACTTGCCATCCTTCTAATTCTTACAGAGCAAACCATCCCCAAATTTAGTGGCTTAAAACAATAATCACCATGAAAAAATGAAATAGATTTTATGGACAAATAGAAGGATAGGTAGATGGACGGATACGTCCAGGATAGGGTGGCGTGGTGTCACCTTAGCTCATAGCAATCTCAAACTCCTGGGCTCAAGCAATCCTTCTGCCTCAGCCTCCCAAGTTGCTGGGACTTACAGCTGCACACCACCAAGCCCAGTTACTTTTTCCTATTTTTGTAGAGACGGGGTATAACTCTTGCTCAGGCTGGTCTCAAACCCCTGAGCTCAAGCAATCCTCCCACCTCTGTCTCCCAGAGTGCTAGGATTACAGGCGTGAGCCACGGCATCTGGCTAGTAGGTAGTAGTTATATGGAAGTTCACTGAGAAATTCTAATCTTTTATATGTTTGAAATTTTTTATTAAAAAGTATTAAAAGAAAAACCAAGCATTTATTTAGTTCACAAATGTGCAGATTCTTTTTGCTCTTGGGGGAGCTACACCGATTGTGACTAGGCTTGCTCATGCATCTGCCCTGTTGTAGGAGGGAGCTGCTGGGGGCTGGGTGGCCTATGGTGGCCTCACCTGGGGTGGCTATTCTCCATGTTTCATCTCCTGCAGGCTAGCAGGGGTTTGTTCACAGGATGCTCATGGGAGTCCCAGACAACAAGTAGATGTATGCAAGGCTTCTTGAGCCCTTGGCTGGGAAATGTCACACTTTCACTTCACTAGACTGTCAGCCAAAGCAACTCACAAGGCCAGCCCAGATCCAAGGGATTGGGGGCACAAACAGGAAAAGTGAAGAACTGGGGCTGTTTTTGGAATCTACCCCATTCCGTCTGCTGGTTGCTAATCCTTGTTCCAGCAAAGCAATGGGGCCTCTGCAGTCAGCCTCACAGACTCGCTCGGTTTTGATCACTCACCAGCAGTCACATGCTTAGGACTTTCAGAGTCTAGAAGCCCTCAGATGGTACTTTAAGACCTGTATATTGGTCAGGTGAGGCTGCAGGCAACATAAAAGTTAACAATTGCCCTCCTGAAGCCACAACCAGGAAGTGAAGGCTCTACCATTCCCGCTCAGGTGTGGGGTCCTACAAACCCCAGTCATCTCCATTATTCAATCCTATGGCTTGACCTAAACCCGCATGTCACTCTACGTGCCCCCACTCCTGGTGATTGTTGAAGATCGCACCCCTTCCCTATTTCCCATCACCTGTTGCTTGCAGGCTACCCTTCGTAAACTCAGACAAGGCAACTGACCCACTTTCCCAGAGCACAGGCTTCCTCTTTGCATGGCAGAGGTTTCAGGGTTCATGGAGCCAGCCACCTGCTCTCTCCTGGTCCTCCTCACGTTCAGAGAAATCAGGCCAACATGAGCAGTGCAGTCCTGGGTCAGAAAATAAACTGTCTCTGTGTACGGAGTCCTACAAACATGCCTGGGGTGAAGCCTCTGATATCATTAGCATCAAACTCACAGACAATTGGCTCTGACAGCTGAAAACGGGTGATAGCAAACACAACACTTTAAAAACTGGGAAACTTAGTAAGCATTGCTGTCTTCAAAGCTGAGCCATGTGGAGGTTCTTTCAACAGCCTTATGTTACAAGTCTCAGTAAAGAGAAGCAGACGGTGAGAATTACTTCCTAATAAGGACCATTGAGTTCTGAGTAAGCAAGCTGTGGAATCGAGCCTTTCTTGTGAGCTGCTTACCAAACGCAAAGACTATGGGATTTATGAGGTTTTAATTAGCCTTTTCATGGCATCATTAGTGCCTTCTCCACTACTGCAATGCAGAAAGAGCAGAAAGGTATCATTTTATAGTGTTTACTGATCATGTTATTTGATTGTGGATGACGACTAGGCCTGCCTAGCATTCTTCAGAGCTGAGGAAAAGAGAGTTAAGAGCTGGGAGTCAGGAGGGGTGGGAAGTGAGACAACAGGGGAACGCAAATGCTTTTAGCTCAACGTGAATGAAATCACAGACTCTTTGCCCCGTTCTGTTTGGAATGAAAGATATCAGCATGGCCTTCAAAGGACCGCCTTAGTTTATTACAGTAAATAAATAAATAAATAAATAAATAAATAAATAAATAAATAAGGGGTGGGGGGAAGAGAGCAGGGAAGTGAAATATTTGCAATGATGACTCATTTTATATCAAATCATAGGTCAGATGATGTCAGAGAATCAAATCACACCCACCCTAAGTACGAATCACACACCTCTGGACCTAGATGTAGACTCAAAGAACAGACACAGTTGTAGTGACTTACTGAGCCCTTACACACACCCTGGTTTTTTCACCTGTAAAATGAGAGGAGAATAGGTTCTTCCTCAGATGTCTTCCATCACTAACACTCTGGGATCCCAAAGCCAACATCCAATATATTTGCCTTCCCCAAGCCAGTGCCCATCCCAGGCACTCTGACCAGTGCTATGAGTCCAGATAATTATCTTGGAAGGCTGGCATCAATTTAATCCCTGTTTTACTAAAGAAGACACTGGGACTTGCATGGATTAGGAGACTCACTAGGTTCTTTGCTCCTCACAGTGTGAAGACCAGCATGGGTAGTCTCAGGCCCCACCCACACCCACTGAGTCAAACACCCCTGGTGATGCATACCCAGATGAAAGTTTAGAAAGCAGTGCTCTAGGTCACAGAGCCACTGCATGCCAAAGCCAGAAGGCAAATTCAAACCCTCCCATGCTGCATCTTGTCCTTTTTCTACCCACACCAAATTTATGAGTCCTCCTTCCAGAAGAAACTGACCCATTTACTCTTCTTATCAGCCACAGTCACCATGCCAAGCAAATCTCAGGATATCCCCAGCAATCTCCCTCTGGGTGCCCTTTAAACCCATCAGGCACTACCAGAATAATCCCCTGGATGGCTTGCATCCCACCCCACCCCCATATAATTAAATTGATCTTTAATCCAAAATGGCGGCATTGCCAGTGGCCTTGGAAATAATATCAATAAATAAACCAACTTTTCAAGTGACTTTAAGGATAAGATCTAAGGACAAAACCTAAAAGAGAAGCAAAGAGCATTTTTTTTCCTATGTGGTTGATGACGGAAAGGCAAAGGACCTCTGCAGGCACCAGGAAGGACTTCCTTTAAGGAAAATTGGCTTTGGCTTCTCTCTCGATGCTTTGGCTTAGAAGACATCAGAGGGGACCTCCGCTTAGCTGTGAATAGTGATGATCTGGAGACCCCCAGGCAGACCAGCCCCCCATTAGTTGGGTTACTCTGGAGTTGTAAACACGGTGCTCTCCCAATCTGTTTTCCAAGATGAACTGTATATAAAGCATGTGTGTGGCAGGAGATGATAGCACGCTTGAGGCTTTCAGCAATCGATGTTTACAGACTATAATGGAAACCACAAGTTTCTTCTTTAACTCAAGTCAGTATACATTCCTTCTACCCACAGGCAAACTGGAGCAGGGAGGGGGGCAGGGAGGGGTTCACAGTGAGTCATCACTTCACATTTTTTAACAGCTTAATGAGCATCTAGAAATGCCGTATTAGCCAGCAAAAATACAGAGTCTTTTTTTCCCCAGCAAATTCAGCAATGACCCTATTTGGACGTGGAATTCCTTGAGCATCTACATTAAGTGACTTCTCCTATGGAAGGCAAGTGAATAAATGTCTTTACCACTGTGTTACAGACAAAAACATAGGAAGGGTCCCATGACTAACTTCAAGTTATTAACCTTCCCTTATTTTGCCCCCAGTTTGAAACGGAGAAAACATTATTTCTCCTAGGTTTCATTAATCCTCTGGAAAGCCCAGCCCAGGGTGCTTGGAAAAGAAGACAGAATTCTCAGATCTGCAAAGCAGCTCTCTCAGCCAAGACTCATGGTGCTAACAGACAGATGGTAAATAAAGCTGGGTTCTAAAGCTACAGCTACAGCTGTGTGCCTCTGCATCTCTCAGATCTATGTGTGTGATCATTAACATTTTTTTCGATCATCTAAAATAGCAGTCTCTGTGTATTCTTGGCAACTTCGGTATTTCTGACCCTCTTTTTATATTTTACATTCAGGGGCCATATGCATAATGTGGGTAAAACAATGGGAAAATGTATGTGTGTTTGTGCATTGATATTTTAATGCCACGTTAAATATCATTAGTTTTTAAATAACTCTTTGATCACTGAAAGGGAAGAAACTGAAGTTTTTTTCAAGTTTTGTCCAAAGCCCCACATAACTTACCTTTTTGTCTTTTCATTCTTCTTTCTCCTTAAGATGATGGGGCATATTCAGGGTCCCAAGCCAACTACATCTGAAGGATGCCACTTGACCTTTAGACCCAAATTTGCATTTTTTAGATCACCTGTGCCAATTATGCCATGAGCCTAAAGGAAAGAGGTTTCGAGAGTCACTCAGTCTCATAAGAATTCTGTGATATTTTCTTGAATTTACAAAAAATAAAATGCAAGTATACCATTTCGGGAATGATTGGAAGGTACACAACCTTGAGATCTCATGAACATGTATATTCTTCGTGTCCCTACAGACTTGATTTTAAAATACCTGCTGTTTCAGAGCTCTCATTCATTTGAAGACCAAACTGTGACTCCAGTAGTATCTGTGACAATTGAGAAAAACATTCCTGTTATATAATTTTATGTGAATTACATTGAAGTCCAGCTCAAAAAAAATCTGAAAGTCTTTTGATAGGTGCTGATAAAATAAGGGATTCAAAAAGCAAACACGCTGTTCGTCTGCTTTTACTGGTAAATTCCTCTCATAAAGCTGATTCAGCCTTTGATAATTCACCTAAAAAAAGACCATCTCTGTATATTCATCATTCAATCTTGTTAGAACTCATTGCTATTTAGCATAGTCTTCTAAGGACTCTCTCAGGAAAATTTCATGGCTTTTAGCTCAGTTTTCACTTTTTATTTTTATCTTCTTGAGCAAGAGGAAAAGAAGAAGCAAGTCTGAATCCTATGGATTATGGGGCCCCAAAAGTGAGGTTGTAAATACATATATATATATATATATATATATACTGATGTATGGACAGAGCAATTTCCCTACTTGCCCTTTCATGCAATCATTTATTTATTCTTCCAACAGATGTTCATCAAGGATCTAGTATGTATGCTGGGTGAGGAGCTGAGGAGTCTCTGTCATGCAAAACTGACAGAGCCCACATCGCATTCATGCAGCTTCCATTATAATGGGGCTTTAAAGGGTGAAAAGAGATGATTAACGAACTAATCAACCAGATGAGCAACAAATTCACTAGTAAAAATATCAAAGGGGTATGCAGAAAAATTAAAGCTATGTGGCCTTTATTTGGATTCTGATTGAAAAGCCAATCATAAAAGACATTTTGGAGGTGATCAAGGAAAACTGAACAAAGAATGCATATTTGATGATGTTAATGAATTCATGATAACTGTGTTGCGTGATGGTGGTTTTGTGCTGGTATCAAAAAAAAAAAAGAAGAAGAAGAAGAATGTCCTCCAGTTCCATCCATGTTGTCACAAATGACAGGATTTCCTTTTTTAAGGCTGAATAATATTCCATTGCAAATGTATCACCACAATTTCTTTGTTCATGAAGACTATGAGTTAGTAAGATTGTATTGTATACTGGAAATTTGCTAAGAGAGGTCTTACGGTAGATTTTATGTTTTTACCACAAAAATAAAAAGATAACTATGTGAGCTGGATGGATATGATAATTTGCTTGACTGTAGGAATCATTTGACTAGTGTAACAAAGCATGTTATACACTCTAAATATAAACAATAAGCAAAATAAACAATTAAAAATTTAAAATATAAGAAAAGTTCTTGTTTCAACTAGAGACACATACTGGAATGCTTACAAGTGGATTTGCTAGAATTTTCTTAAAAACTCTCAAAAACAGGGTGGCGAGGAGTGAAGATAGAACAAAAATGGCAGAAAGACAGCGGTCATCAGAGGAAGCTGATGAACGCAAAGAGTTTGCAGAAATATTTTCTCTACATCCATGCATGCTTGAAAATATTCCTAGGAGTTAATACTGATAATGATGCTCTGCATTGGTGTGCAGAGTTAGCATCTCCTGAGCAATTATGTTGTGGCAACTGCCCTTCATATATCACTGTTGTGACTACTCTGTAGGAACCGGATGCATCCCAACCCAAAACTTGGTTTGGATGTCAAGAATGATGACGCCACACACACACCAAGAGGGATTGAAAACGTGTATTGTTCACAGCATGAGGCTTTCAGGGCAAAGCAGGGCAGGCTCCCCACGAGCTGAACTGAAGATGGCTTGAGAGCGCAGGGGAAGGGATGGGCTTGGAGCTTTTATTGTGTTGGAGATGGGCAGGGTAAGTGCCTCCCTATGCAAGCAGGGGCTATGTGGCTGAAATCTCCAGCTAACACCAAAAGAAGGAGTACTGGGCTTTATCAGCTTCCCTAGGTGGGAGGCATGAGGAAAGGAGAGAGGGGTGAGGCCTAGAAGCTATCAATCCACAAGTATCAAAAAATGAAGTCAGACTATTGCAACCATCTCATTTAATCTGCATAACGACCCTCTAAGGTAGGTTAGTAGTTCACGGAGGAAGAAATTAAGGATTTGCAAGGTTAAGGTATTTTCCCAGATCATGAAGGTAACATTGGAACCAGAACCTACTATCTTAAGCACACACTGTGCTATAATACCACGTTCCTTTTACATGGGATGGTACAAGGCACTTCCACACACAGGGATCACATCTGAACCACTTTCAACCCAGGAAAGTCAGCAGGGCTTATGATGCTAATACCCAATGTTAGGCATGAAGGCTCAAACCAAACAGATAACAGAGGTCAATAAAGATGGCAGGTGTAAAAAGCATGCAGCCTTCTCTTCTGGTGACTTGCTTTTCTGTGTGCTGAATCAGTTAGGATGTTCTTGGTTGCAGGTAGCAAGATGGCTTAAACAATAAGGAACTGTATTATTACCTCTAATAGGAAGTGCGGGGTTGAGGGGGAAGGATCCAGGGTGGGTGGGCTCAACAATTCATCAAGGTTCCCAAGGGTCCAGGTTCTCTTTGTGTTTCCACTCTGCCAATTTGGTCTGATTTATCTCACAGACTAATAGCAAGATGGGTACAAATGTCAAATCCACACATGTTGACACCACCAAAAAAAAAAAAGAACAGGCATTCCCTGAGAGAGAAAAAAGCTTTTCCTAGAAGCCCTCCAGCTGATTTTTCCCTTGTGTTTTGTTGGCTAGTGGGCTGGCTCACATGCCCTGTTTTGAACCAACCACCGAACACCTTAGATCAATGCTAAACTACAATAGGCATTTGACCTTAAGGCTGAAAAGAAAATGATGCACATAGAAAGTCCACACGAAACTGTTATTGAGAATGCAAGCTCTACTGGGCTCCAACAGATTATTCCATGCACAAAGTGCAGGCCTGGTGATACCAGACCTTTGGTTCGGCCATGATGAGCCAGAAATCTAAATATTTTTACATCCAGATTTATACGTGTTGGCAACAAATTTAATCCTAAAAAAATATTTTGTGGGCCAAACAAAACAGGTCTGTCGATTAAAAGTGGTGTTTGGCTTGCCAGTGTGCAACCTGGGAGCAAAAACATCACAAAGATCTCAAATCAGATGGGCTGGCATGAGGACTGAGAATTGCATGTCTGACAAGCTGCCAGTGCGCTGGTGCTGCTGGTCTATGGACCACGCTAGGGTAGCGCTGCTCTGTGTTCCTACCCTGCATTGCTTTTCTCCACTGTATGCGGTGATCGTATGAGGTCCAGTGTTTTGCATTCCTGGTTGGAGCAGACTATACCTCCCTTCTCCTCCTTCCATTGAGCACCCTACCTGCCTCCTGACATCTCTCCTCCCCTCTCTGGTCTTCTGTGCTTTTTAGGTGACGAACTGGATTCTCAGGTTGGCCATTGATGTCCTCTCCTACCCTCCTCAGTCTCCAAATGAAATGAAATGAAACACACCATGATATAAAAAGGCAGAAAGAACTTCAAAGAAGCTGGCTCATTATTTCCCTCCACAAGCCAGGGAAGGGCACAAACAAATAAACACAATATCACTGATGGGAGGTCAGCACAGGCTGGGCCTGGTTTTCGCCAAGCAGTGACCTCCTCCAGTAAATTAAATGCCCAGCACCTCGCAGCCTCATCTGGTCCTGATTTTCAATCGGCAGTAAACTGATATGTTTTTTTTTTCCACTTTCATTATAGCTTGTTTTCATCTAGTTTATATTTTCAAATGTGCTGGTTTTCAAGCCCGAACTGTCATATTAAAAAAAAAAAAAAAGAACACTTCAAAACATGTAGGCTAGGCGACCCAGTGGCACCATGAAGGGGGCCCAGCCCTCGGCTTGTGGAAATTCCTTGGAGATTTTCTCTTCTCTGAGCTAATCCCACTGGGAGCCACCAAGTTGATGGGTAGAGTAGAAAGGGAACCTTAAGGGATCCGAACTGTCTTTCTTACCCCAGTGTGGGGTGGTGTGTCGAGCAGGGAGAGAAGCTAATAGATGAATCCTCAGGCCCATTCTAGCATGGGCGTGGAGGAACTTTGAGGGAGTGGAAGGCTGGGAAAAGGGGCCACCAACCTTACAGCAGATGACAGAGAGAAGGGCTAACTCTCTCAACCAGTGAGAGTGGAGGCCCATGTTTTGTGCATAGAAAGCAACAGCCAAAACCCTTCCTTCTGACTAAGTCTCAAAAGAATTAGTCAGAAAATGGAATGAACACAATTGGGAATGAGCAATGAACATTCTCAGCACCCACCCGGGATGCATGGACAACACACCCTTCTGAAGGACAAAAACCATGCAGGGTGACCCTCATGGACCTCTGCCAGGCTTCCAGCTGCACCATTATCAGAGGATCTGAGCTCATTCCCTTGGGCAGGTACCTCCCTCCTCTGAGCTCTCTGCAACTGGGTCAAGGCAGTCTTTCCTCCCCACTGCAGGGGGTATGACATTGGACTTGAGGGTGGGAGGTGTGGGGGAGTGGTAGACAGAGGAGCCCAGGCAGCCATCAAGTCTGGGAGAAGATGTGGTGGTGAATTTGGATTCATCATAGTGCAGCCTCCAATTTCTATAGCTCCTATGCGCAGTTCAAAGATGGGATTTTTTTCCTTTGCAAAATGATTCAGAATACAAACCCAAACATGTTTTTCTTCCAAATTTAACTTTTCATGTAGCAGCATTGAAAAAAAATAGAATAAATCTTTGAAGTGTTTGGCCTTCATAGTCATTCTCTGAATCCTCTTTCCTTCTGCTGATTCCAAGGCTCATTCTTTCTTCCCTCCATCTCTTCTGCCAAGGTTCTTTCCATCCCTGGATGGCAGACCTCTCCTTTCTGAGGATGCTTTAAATCTTTGCTTTCTAGTCTTTTCTTGAAGCTTCTGTTTCCATCTGGTGTCAAGTTCAGAAGTCAAAAAATTTTCCCTGATTACCATCTTTTAGTAAATGTCTTTGGTAGTCTGATCCCCACCCTCTCTTGCTCTATTTTCTCCATCTCTCTCTCTCTCTCTCTCTCTCTCTCTCTCTTTCTCTCTCTCTCTCTCACACACACACACACCTCCCTTCATCAATCTCTCCACTCCATCACCCCCCTTTGACCTTGAGAAATTCAGAACAGTACATACCATGCAGAGTAGACCTAAGTATCATGTTAAAGAAATTTGTCTCATTACAAAATGAGAAAAAAATATAACACCAGGCATCAAGAGTTTTTCACAATAGGTAGCAAAACTGATTAAGTTTTTACCTTTGTTGGATATTGTGATCTAGAGGAATTATCTCATCCATTTCCTAAATAATTCTATGAGTGAGAAACCATATCATGTCTATATGGGGACTCAGAGAGGTTAACCAATTAGGCAGAAGTCACATGGATAGCAGGTGATGCAGTTAAAATTCCAATCCCAGTAACCAGATCTCAGGGCCCTTGCTTTAAACACATGTTATGTTAACTCCTCCTCCCTCTCAAAAGTTCAGGAAAGGATCTGATGAACTTTCCTCCAGAGATGAGAATAAGATGCCTAAGACTACAATTTGGCTCAGTGCTTGTGATCTGAGAAATGCCTGGAGTTCTGTTGCAGGGGGGTCCCCTGTTCTACCAGGAATTGAGACATCTGTCTCCCGACAGAGCAGTCCTTGGCTGCATCTGAACCTGGAGCTTTTGAAAATCCTGATGCCCAGTGCACACCCCAGTTGGATTACATCGGACTATCTGGGGCTGAGGGGAGGCCAAATCCAGGCATCAGGATTTTTTTAATCTCCTCTGGTGATTCCATGTGCTGCCAAACCTGAGAATCAGTAAAATACAGAAATGTCAGGCAAACTCAAGCTAACTAGGAGAACTCCTTTTTTATGTGTGGCAGAGCTATCCCACCATCTCTGAAGTCATGGTATTAAGTGATCACATTCATGCTTTTCCTCTATACCAGGTCAGCTAGAGAGAAACCCGCCTAACTATCCAAAATGGCAGACAGCTGTGAAGAAAGGGTTTGGAACTTGGGATCTAAGAGACTGGGCTTGTATTCTGAGTTCATTTAAGCAACTGTAAAGGAATATCAAAACATTTGTACCACCTCCTTAATATTTTGCTATTTAAAAAAGAAAGAAATATCATAAACTGAGTAGCTTATAAACAAGAGAAATTTATTTCTCACATTCCTGGAGGCTGGGAGGTCCAAGATCAAAGGATCATGAGATTAGGTGCCTGGTGAGGGCTCACTTTTTGGCTCGTGATGCCTTCTTCTTGTAGCCTCACCTGGTGGGTGGAAGGGGTAAGAGTATTAATCTCATCCACAAAAGCTCTGCTCTCATGACCTAATCACCAAAGGCCCCACATCCTAATACTATCACAATGGTAATTAAGTTTCAACATTTGCATTTGAGGGGACACACACATTCAGACAATAGCAGGTTCTATCAATCTGTCATCCGCTAGCTGTGTGACTTTTTTTTAATTTCACCAAAATACATTATAACACAAAATGTAACATCTTAACCATTTTTAAGTATGCAGTTTAGTGGTATTAATTACATTTAAATTGTTGTACAATCATCATTGCCATCCATCTATTTTTTATCTTGCAAAACTAAAACTCTATAGCCATTAAACCACCCCCATTTTCCCTCTTTCTAGCCCCTGGCAACCTCCATTCTCCTTTCTGTCTTTGTGAGTCTGACTATTCTAGATTCCTCGCATAAGTGGGATCATGTGGTATTTCACCTTTTGTTATTGGTTTATTTCACTTAGCACAATGTCCTCGAGTTTCATCCATGTTGTAGCATAAGTCAGGATTTCCTTTATATGGCTGCATAATATTCCACTGTATTCATATCTCACATTTTGTTAATCCATTCACCTGTTGATGGACACTTAGGTTGCTTCTACCTTTTGGCTGTTGTGAATGATGCTGATATGAGCATGGTTGTACAAATATCTCTTTGACACCTTGTTTTCAATTCTTTTGTGTCTATACCCAGAAGTGAAATGGCTGAGTCATGAACTGTGCGACTTTAAGCAACTCATTTAAATATTTCTGAGCATCTGTTTTCTCATCTGTAAAATTCATGTTTATTAAACATGGTCCCAGGTGCTAGGGATACAGCAATGAACAGGACAGGCAAGGTTCCTGTCTAGAAGAAGCAATTCCTATGACCAGATACCATAAAATGAATGAGGTGAGTGAGGTTTTTTTGACTTTCATTGATGATTTGACCTAGAAAGGTTTGACCTTCTCACTGAGTGTTGAGGACTTTTGTACCAAGAAACAAAATGAATTTATCTGGGAGTTTGAGGGTGATGAATGCCAAAGGAGGAAACTCCACATGTTTAAAGCTTTGAAGGAGGAAAACTTGAGTCTTAGAATTTTAGCTGAATGAGGAAAATGTCAATCCCAACTATGTTTTCCCATGGGCTTCATATTAGCAAGCATTCATTTCAGGACCCAATTAAACATTTCAAATATCCTTTCTCAATGAAAAAGAGGGGGAAAAATTATCCCAAAACTCACACACACAAATATCTTGCATTCTTAGATGTATTTTAGAAAAATTTCTGAGACAATCTACAACTATATAAATCCATGAATTCTGCAAGCCAAAAATCTCCACTATTTCTAAAAAACTCTGATACATCCAAGTTCAAGGGTGATGATTTCCTAAAGCAATAAGGTAGGGATGTGCAATGTAAGGGGTAATGATGGACATGTCATTATACTTGGAATTCTCTAGGCAGACATCTTTCAAGAGAAAATTATTCTTTTAAAAATACAGAAAAGTACAAGAGACAATATAAAAAATGCCCATGATTTAATCTTTTTTCTTATTTTATTGTTTTTTTTTTCATTCACCTTATTAAGGTACAATTTATATACAATAAAATGCACATTTTAAATCTTTGATAAATATTTACACCTGTGTAACAATGTACCCCAATCAAGATACAAAACATTTCCATCATTCCAGAAAGTCCCCTGGTGACCCTTTGCAGTCAGCCCACTTATGGCCCCAGGCAGACACCGATCTGACTTCAATCACTATAGATTGATTTTTCATGTTCTGGAAATTCAATTAAATGAGATCTACAATACCTACTATTTTCTATCTGGTTTCTTTTGCTTGACATAATGTCTATGATGGTTGTCCAGAAAGTATCCAGCCACATAAACCGTATTTGCTATATTAACAGTGGCTGGATACTTCCCGGACATCCCTGGTATAAGATCCATCCATGTTGCTGCAGATATCAGAAGTTTGCTTTTTTTATTTCTGAGTTCTATTCCCTCATACAGACGTCCCACAATTTCCTCACCCATTCTTCTGGCTTGTTTTCTGTGTTTGACCATTGCAAATAAAGCTGTCATAAATATGTAAAAATCTTTTGGTGAATCTAAGTTTTTAATTCTCTTGGGAAAATATCCAGGAGAAGAATTACTAGTTCAAAGGGTAAATGGATGTTTAACTTTATACAAACTGTGCAACCTAAGTGGTTGCACAATTTTACACTGATGCCAGTAATGTGTGAAACATTCAGTTGCTCTAGATCCTTACCAAAACTTGGTATTGTCAATCTTTTAAAATTTATCATTCTGATGTATGTGTAGTGGCCCTCGTTATGTTTTTAAACTTGTATTTTCTTCATGACTAAAAATACTGAACATCTTTTCATCGATGTACTGGCTTTATTACTCAGCTTGGGCTTCTGTAACAAAATACCATAGACTGGTTGCCCTAAACAATAGAATTTTACTTTTTACAGTTCTGGAGGCTGAAAGTTTACAATTGGGATTCTGGCATGATTGGGATATGGTGAGGATTTTCTTCCTAGCTTATAGATGGCCACCTTCTTGCTGCGTTCTCACGTAGCAGAGGGAGAGAAGGAAAAAGAGTACAACTTCTCTAGTGCCTTCTTATACAAGGGCAATAATCCCATCAGACCAAGGCCCTACCCTCATGACTCATCTAACCCTCATTACCTCCTAAAAGCATTATCTCCAAATACAGTCATATTGGGGGTTAGGCTTAATATATATATTTTTGTAGCATGTATACACAAATATTCAGTTCTTAACATTAATCATTACTATAACTTCTTTTTGAAATCTCTATTCAAGTCTTTTGCCTATGTTTGTATTGTCTGTCTTCTTATTATTGAATTATAAGGGTTATTTATATATTTTTGATAAAATTACCTCATCAGATATATTCACTGAAAATACTTTCTCTTAAGACATGTATACCATGCATTTTAATAGTATCTTTTGAAAAACAGAGGTTTTACCTTCAGTTATGTACATATAATCATTTTTTTCTTTTAAAATTAATGTTTTTGAGTCATGTCTAAAACCTCTTTGCAAAGATTTCTCCCATGACTTCTAGAAGTTTTATATCTTTAGCTTCTATGTTTAGTTTCAGATTCTTAGCTTTTATATTTGATATAAAACCCAATTTGAGTGCAATTTTTATATATGTTATGAGAGGAGATCTGATGTCCATTTCTTTCTGTGAAGGTATCCAGTTATTTCAGAAGAATTTGTTGAAAAGTCTATGGTTAATCCACTCAATTATGTGGCCACTTTTTAAAAAATTAATTGACTATACATGTATGGGCCCAATTCTGGACTCTCTATCCTGTTCCATTTATTGCTATGTCTGCCTTTGCAACAATACCACACTGGCAATTATTGCAGCTTCATAATAAGATTTACAATAAGATAGAGTAATTCCTCCAACTTTATTCTTTATCAAGATTTTTTTTGGCTGTTCTAGGTCTGTTGCTTTTCCATTCAAATTTTAGCTTTTCAGTTTCTAGTTAAAAGCCCGATGAGTTTTTGATTAAAATAGAACAATTTAAGGAATATAGCTATCTTAACATTATTGAGTCTTCCAAAACTAGAAACAGGGTATATATTACCATCTAGTTTTGTCTTTCTTAATTTCTCTCAGCAATGTTTTGCTAGATGTTACCTGGGGATGTGGTCATCTAAAGACTTCGATAGTAGCTGGAGGATCTACTTCCAAGGTCACTTGCTGCACTGTTGGCAGGTTGGTGCTGGTGGCTGAAAGGAGTTCTCAGTTCCTCACCACATGGATGTTTCCACAGGGCAGCTTGGGTGTCCTTTGACACAGCAGCTGGCTTCTACAGAGCAAACAAACCAAGAGGCTTCAATGCTCACTCGGAAGCCACATGTCATTGCTTCTGCAGTATTCTACGGACCATGCAGTCCAGCCCTGACTCACTGCAAGAGAGGTACAAACAAGGCCTAAAGTCTCGGGATATTAGGACCACCACAGACCACCTTGGAGGCCAGCTACCACGTTGGTCATTATACCCATCCAAGAGCTCCTATGTCTGGCTAGAAGATATATCTTTTCCCCGTGATGGTGGCAACGTAGAATGTTAATGGTTAAGCCTTGTGGGGGATTCAGACAGACCTGGGTTCAAATCATGACTCTGTCTCTTGGGAAATGTAACCTCTCTGAGCCTCACTTTTCTTATTGGTAAAACCAGGATAATAATGCCTACATCTTAAGGTTGTTGTAAGAATTAAATTATGCATTTGACATAGGGTGAACACTCAATAAATGATAAATTCCATAATTATTATTTCTTTTAGAAATTATGGATATTAAAGGCTATAGTTATCCATCATTCTAAAAGACTAGGAAGATTTACATTAAGAAAAGGAAAAACAAACATTGGGGCACCTATAAAAATAAGTGCTTTGTCCTTTATAAGAAGCCTGCTTTAACTGTCAGAGGTGGTGCTATAGCTGATTCTCCCAGGTTCCCACCGAAATCCACTTGGCCTAGCCCCAAGGGAGCCAGCAAAGAGTTCCTGTTCATATTGACCCAGTTCTCCCTGCCTCTCTCTGTCGGGGCTAATCTCTGGCTGTGGGATAATGCTCTAGCAACCTAAGGCAGGCTGGAATGTCCTAGATGGAAGGTTAACAACTCAGGAGTGACCCTCTACATGAGACAGACCAGAGCTGGTGGATAAATGCCTAAACTGCTTTATCCTCCAAGCAACGCTGTTCAGTTGTATTTTATACAGCGGCCCAGGGGGTCTCCAGCAGGACTGAATCTTACGGAGGTAATCTGTTTCCTCACAACCTTTATTTCCTTTGTGCTCTCACTTCACCCACTCCTTCAATGTGCCTCCTGAGATTCACTGCCAAATTATCCAATTATACCCAAATTCTTATATGGGGATCTGTATTTAAGGCAACCCACACTAAAAACAGAGACTAGCCTCGGAGATGCAATGCTCTGGACGCCTGTGAGTGCTTTGAGCGAAAGGTGACCCTCTCCAGAGAAAGAAGCAGGGGAAGGAGAGGTGCAATTTGTGACAAACCAAGAGCCCGGGTTAGAAATAAAGTAGAGAGATAGTCACTCGAGGTACTTTTTGTGCCCAAACCCTCGATGGTGTCACACCCATAGGCTTCAAAAGTATTTGTTCTGGAAATTTCTCAGCCAAGTGTTCCAAGACCCTTGGCAAAAACACCTTACCCAAGGTAGCCGTCTCACGAAATAGCAGAGTAATGTCTGCTTTTTCTATGAGAGGCAACCCACAAGCCACAGCCGAGAGAGGACACCATCCCAAGCACAACAATTTGGCAACACAGACGGCTGTCTTTGAAAGGATTGTACAAATACATTTCTCTCACTTGGGAACTTCAATAGAAGATAATTATTCTTTTCTGCCTCATAATATATATTAAAAACGTTCAAATGTGGCTTTCTAGGGAATGCTGCCAAATATTTTAGGCACCAGGTCCAGCTTTATTAATTTTATATGCCCCACTTAGTCAATTATAAAATACTCTTTCATGCAGTATGAATTTGCTAAAGAGGCTAAAATATATTTCTTTATATTAAACACCTAATTTAAAAGGTCTTCAAGGCGAGGGACTCTCACGCCTCTGACCCATCTCATGATGAGATAGCCACAGAAAAGATATTAAGCCCCTCCTGAAATATTGCACATTTTTCTAGACTTTTACTACCATCATGAAACAAAATAAAACAACATCATCCACTTTCAGGAAATGCAACGTACATTGACAAGAAGGTTGTTTTCAGACAAACAGTGTATTTATTTCATTATCACCAGGGCATGCAATATCTCGACCACTATGTTTCATGGTCTTTTTCTGTTTTCAGGAGTTCATGCCAACAACGAGTAATGAGCACAAAGGCTGTGTGCGAAATGCTGCATTTGTTGGAGTGTTTGTGTTGGCTTCCTTAAAATCGGCTGATTTCCAAATCTCTTTCTCCACCCCACCTTGGTTACATTTATACTGTTGTGCAGAACAAACTTGGATCCATCTTTAAATATGAAATGCTTTGTGGCCATTCGTGCAAATCTCTTTATCGGGGTCTCGCACATTAACGCCCTTCACAATTGACCCACAGGCCGATTGTTTAACATAACGTTTCCACAGGGCCGCTTCCATGGAGCCCCAGCCTTGTTTTTACTTTTCTTAGCTTTCCTGGACAATCAAGAGGAAGTGGAACAGAGCCGGCTTGCTGAAAGCTGGAGCTGCCCCAGTGTCTCCTCCTACCTTCTGTCTCGGGTTTTGTTTTTCTGTTTCTTTTTCTTTTCTTTTTCCCGTCATTTCTGGTGGTAGAGGAGGCTGAGCCAGACCATGTAGCTACAATCTCTCAATCCTTATGTCTGCTGCTTTTTTCCTCCCTGACTCAAAATTCATGTGAAGGCTGACCGCGGCCAGTCTCTTGTGAAGCTAAACTGTGCCCCCTCTATTTCAGCAGAACTGAGTTCTCTGCTGATTCACAAAAGTAATAAAGTAATGCAAAGCAATATGTGTTAGAGGTGGGAGAAGAGAAAAAAGTCTTTCTTAATGTAATGGGAACATTCAGCTTAGGAAATGTAAATTTCCTCATCCCCCTTTAACTTGGGAATTGCTTTAACTGAGAGAGTCACAGGCTCCATGCTACTTCCCCCTTTCCCATTTTTTTCTTTGGAGAGAAGTGTTGCAACCTGTGCACACTGAAGCAGAAAGATTTAAGTTACTCAAGGCACTTTCTTGGAAAGAGGGTTCCCACAAGGTGCTATGGCTGGTGACTTCATCTGTCTAAACTGTAGCTTTCTCTTCTGGAAGCTAGAGATTGATTTATATTTATTGAGTGTTTACTGTAGCTACTAGATACACTTAGGTACACACATAACAGTAATAATGTATGTCTCATATGATGGTTGTGAAGACTTAATAAGCTACCACACATAAAGCATAGAACATAGGGCTGGGCAAGTAGTGAGTGTGCAGAAATATCAATCATCACAATCATCATAAATCATGGCAAGATTTAAGAAGACTAGGCACTGAAAATGAATGTCTCTATTATGGTTCCTACAGTGATCAAGAGCCCAAGTTTGGGAGTCTAATATACCTGCATTCAAATCTTTATTCCTGCATTTCCATACTCATGACTTTTGGCAAATTATTGAAGCTCTCTAAGCCTCAGTGTCCCATCTGTAAAATGGGGCTAAAAACAGTATCTTTTTCAAAGGGTTGCCATAAGGATTGTGCTTATAGATGTATTTAGCCAGTGTTTTGCATATCAATATATGCTTTACACATATCATTATATGGTAGGCATTATTACTTGCTCATTTAATGTATTTTTATCATAAAGATAATTCAAAATTAACCTAAAAGACAAATGTATATATACTCATTCGTATACCTTGAGGATGCACATGATTTTTCATAATCAAGTGGTCGCCTGCCTCCATTCATTCAGGGACTTGGAACCACCTGTCAATCGGCTGTACCATCTTTTAGAGCCTGCAAGTCCTCAAGTGGATTATCTCATCTATCCAATAGGAAAGAGAGAATATTGGAGGATCATGTAAGGTATTTTAGGATGCATCTAGAAAGAGTTAGGAATAGAAGAATGGGTCATCATTGTTCCTTTTCAGATTGGACCACTTATTGAAATGAGGACTCTGTTTATTCCACATGCATCTCACACACTGCTAGGCAAGCCCATGAGAGAAGTGAAAACACAACATAAGGGTCTTCCAAGTCTATCCCAGAGTATTTTAATACATATATTGGTAATAATCCTTTACTTAAAAAAATTAAAGACAAATGCTAACCTGGGTGGGTGACAGGATATAAACTTGAATGTCCCAAGAAAACTTATAGTTTATGGGGTCACCCTACCCTGTGCCCCTTCACAGTTAGAAAATCCTTATTTTCCCATAAAAATCAAGTAGGGTATCCATCATTCAGATATTCCACATAGGATCTGCTTAGCAAACAGCATCCTCTGTGTCCTAATGAAACATCCATTGTTTGGGCTTCATAAAGGGCTTTGCCGACCAGTCTCTGTCTTCATTCTCTCTTTCTGTCATCTTCTAAATTCCAAGTGGAGGGCACAAGACACAGCACAAACAGGCTAGAATTCACCAGAGCCCTATAGACTGAAAAAATGAGGCAGAGAGTGATAACAAATGCACTTTCAACACTCAAGAAATATGAGGGTGCAGGGGGCAGTGGCAGGGGTGGAGGTGTGGAGATTCGGTGGCCTGAGTGCAGTATCTCAGTCACACCACTGCAATTCCCACCTATATTCCAAGTGCAGTTTGAGATTCTAAGGTGGGCAAACCCACCACAAACCTATTCCCCAAATCTTAGTTTTAAAAACAAGGAGCTACACTCTCTGCACATAATCCCAAAAGCTCAAAATAGTTAGTTTCAGGACTAATTAATAAAATTCAGCTTTGCATCCCAGATGGCAAACCCTGGTATTATTTATTGCAAGAGCTAGTTCAGATCAAAATGATAAACAGGTTCAAGAAAGAGAAGGAAAGCAAACATACAATTTTATTATAATTTACATCTGCAATTCAGTCCCTAAAATATCTCTGCTAGCAGCTTTCAGAGCTAGATCATTGTCTGCATTTAATTAAGACTTTTTTTTATGTTTAAAGCTGTCACTAGGAAACTAGGAGATTATACCAAATCATTCATTTATCCATCTATTCACACACATACTCATTCAACACCCATTTGTCAAACATCTTTGAAGACAAATGGCACCTCAGGCTCCATAAAGCCACAGTATTTTCCAGAATAAAACTTTGTTAAGGTTGTGGGATATTCCTTAGATACAGCCAAGGGATATTCATAATATTTAATAATGGGTACAGCATGGCACCAGTCAATCATAATGGCAGCCTCATAGTCAGCCAATAAGGAAGGGGGGGTCTCACCAGCACAATGTGGTCACTCCAATGTACCAGCCGAAAACAGCCCTGGAGCAAACTTAGTTTCTGAGAACGGTGAAGACAGATCTTCCTAGTGACTAATGCTTCTAAACATGGTGGAAAAAGCAAAAGTAGGTTGAGCTTTGATGCAAAAAGTTCTCCTGCATTATTTTCAGAAGACCCAAAAGGAAAAACTGTCTACAATACACACATCTGCCTTTCATTCCACTGCATCCATTCAAGGTGAAAACTAGGGAAGTTACCGTATGCCTACTATACATAAACATGGTGTCTGTGCCTTACATTTATTTATTTATTATTTTTTTTTTTTGAGACAGAGAGTTGTGCAGAAATATCAATATCACAATCATCAATGAATCATGGCAAGATTTAAGAAGACTTAGGCACTGAAATGAAGTTGTTTTATTATGGTTCCTACAGTGATCAAGAGCCAAGTTTGGGAGTCTAATATACCTGCATTCAAATCTTTATTCCTGCATTTCCATACTCATGACTTTTGGCAAATTATTGAAGCTCTCTAAGCCTCAGTGTCCCATCTGTAAAATGGGGCTAAAAACAGTATCTTTTTCAAAGGGTGGCCATAAGGATTGTGCTTATAGATGTATTTAGCCAGTGTTTTGCATATCAATATATGCTTTACACATATGTCATATATGCGTAGGCATTATTACTTGCTCATTTATGTATTTTTATTATAAAGATAATTCAAAATTAACCTAAAAGACAAATGTATATATACTCATTCGTATACCTTGAGGATGCACATGATTTTCATAATCAAGTGGTCGCCTGCCTCCATTCATTCAGGGACTTGGAACCACCTGTCAATCGGCTGTACCATCTTTTTAGAGCCTGCAAGTCCTCAGTGGATTATCTCATCTATCCAATAGGAAAGAGAGAATATTGGAGGATCATGTAAGGTTATTTTAGGATGCATCTAGAAAGAGTAGGAATAGAAAGAATGGGTCATCATTGTTCCTTTTCAGATTGTGACCACTTATTGAAATGAGGACTCTGTTTATTCACACTGCATCTCACACACTGCTAGGCAAGCCCATGAGAGAATGAAAACACAACATAAGGGTCTTCCAAGTCTATCCCAGAGTATTTTATACATATGTTGGTAATAATCCTTTTACTTAAAAAATTAAAAGACAAATGCTAACCTGGGTGGTGGACAGGATATAAACTTGAATGTCCAAGAAAATGTATAGTTTATGGGTCACCCTACCCTGTGCCCCTTCACAACTAGAAAATCCTTATTTTCCCATAAAAATCAAGTAGGGTATCCATCATTCAGATATTCCACATAGGATCTGCTTAGCAAACAGCATCCTCTGTGTCCTAATGAAACATCCATTGTTTGGGCTTCATAAAGGGCTTTGCTGACCGTCTCTGTCTTCATTCTCTCTTTCTGTCATCTTCAAAATTCCAAGTGGAAGGCACAAGACACAGCATAAACAGGCTAGAATTCACCAGAGCCCTATAGACTGAAAAATGAGGCAGAGAGTGATAACAAATGCACTTTCAACATCAAGAAATATGAGGGTGCAGGGGGCAGTGGCAGGGTGGAGGTGTGGAGATTCGGTGGCCTGAGTGCAGTATCTCAGTCACACCACTGCAATTCCCACCTATATTCCAAGTGCAGTTTGAGATTCTAAGGTGGGGTGGGCAAACCCACCACAAACCTATTCCCCAAATCTTAGTTTTAAAAACAAGGAGCTACACTCTCTGCACATAATCCCAAAAGCTCAAAATAGTTAGTTTCAGGACTAATTAATAAAATTCAGCTTTGCATCCCAGATGGCAAACCCTGGTATTATTTATTGCAAGAGCTAGTTCAGATCAAAAAGATAAACAGGTTTAAGAAAGAGAAGGAAAGCAAACATACAATTTTATTATAATTTACATCTGCAATTCGGTCCCTAAAATATCTCTGCTAGCAGCTTTCAGAGCTAGATCATTGTCTGCATTTAATTAAGACTTTTTTTTATGTTTAAAGCTGTCACTAGGAAACTATGAGATTATACCAAATCATTCATTTATCCATCTATTCACACACATACTCATTCAACACCCATTTGTCAAACATCTTTGAAGAACAAATTTGGCCCACCTCAGGCTCCATAAAGCCACAGTATTTTCCAGAATAAAACTTTGTTAAGGTTGTGGGATATTCCTTAGATACAGCCAAGGGATATTCATAATATTTAAAAATGGGTACAGCATGGCACCAGTCAATCATAATGACAACCTCATACTCAGCCAATAAGGAAGGGGGGGTCTCACCAGCACAATGTGGTCACTCCAATGTACCAGCCGAAAACAGCCCTGAAGCAAACTTAGTTTCTGAGAACGGTGAAGACAGATCTTCTTAGTGACTAATGCTTCTAAACATGGTGGTAAAAGCAAAAGTAGGTTGAGCTTTGATGCAAAAAGTTCTCCTGCATTATTTTCAGAAGACCCAAAAGGAAAAACTGTCTAAAATACACACATCTGCCTTTCATTCCACTCTGTCCATTCAAGGTGAAAACTAGGGAAGTTACCATATGCCTACTATACATAAACATGGTGTCTGTGCCTTACATTTATAATCGCTAAGTCTCACAACAATCTTGTAAGTTTTACTAAATCCACTTGCCCTCTTGCCCTCTCTGAGCCTGGTTCTCTAACGGTGTCTTTGATACTATGAGCTACTTGTATCCTTATGACAAATTCCTTTGGCTTCAGTTTGTCAGAGTTGCTGTCAACCTAAAAAACTCTAACTTATCTTAAAGACTTTGGTCCAAATTCTGTATTTTGCTACTGAAAAAACTAAGGCCAGAGAGGAAGGCTAGTTATCTGACTCAAACCGTGAATACACTAAAAGGCAGAGGCCAGGATCAGAATCCAGACAACCTAACATAAAGATCAGGATCATTATCATCATAAAAGGCCATCATCTTAGGCATGGCATAAGCCAACTCAGTAAAGTAGGTAAGGCTAGCTGCTATAAAAAGCAATCCCTAAATCTCCGTGGCTTACACTGTCATATTTAAATTCTCATGCCTGTCACTGGCCAATAATGGTTTTTCTCTGGGGGGATAGTCTTCCACGTGCTCATTCAGGGATTCAGGCACCTTCTATATTGTGACTCTGCCCTCCTCTAGGTCCTCAAGGCCCCCACCATTCAGCCAGCACATGGAAAAAGGAAAACAAGATGGCATGCGAGAGGGTTTTATGAGCCAGGCCTGGAAGTACCACCTACCATTTTTGCTCACATTCCATTGGACAGAGCTTGGGCACATGACTACACCAAGCTGTAAGAGAAATGCAGTCCAGTTGTGGCCCAAGGATGAAGTGAGGACAAAAATAGGGTCAGATCTTGGCCACAGACTCTTAGCTAATTTTATACAAAATCTCATCACTGAGATTAAGTCATTCCTGCTCCTTAGTAAGTCACTTCATTTCAAAAGTGCCCAATAAAAGAACACAACCATGTTTTATTTATTGTTGAATAAAAGATGATGAAAAGTATCGTCCATGCAATAGACTACCCAGAAACTGAAATTTTTATACTCACTGCGGCTTGCTAAAGAGAAAGCTCTGTTAGCAGACAGGAAACCCAGCTCAGAATACACTATTGTCCAGCCACAATATTCTGCACTATTTTCATTCCTTCCACAAAATCAGCCTGGGATTAGGGGGCAGGGATTCTACAAGTAATCATTTGCTTTCCTTTGTCTGACGAATAGCAACTGCAGCAGTTTATTAACCACTAGGTTACTCTGAAGATTTTTGGCGTGACTTTAGAATCACTCAGATACATTTAGGGAAAAAGTATTTCCCTCCTTTTCCCCTCCTCGATGCATTTTTTTTCCCCTTCCAATTTTGTAAGAAAGTCCTCAGGAAAAATAGACCTATAACAGTATCAAATTAATGGATGAATTGAGCCCACATTTTTCTTTTCCCATGATGCATTATAAATACCAAAAAAAAAAAAAAAAAAACTAGACAGAAAATGGGACGCATCCATCCACATTCCAAGACATGCTCCAATTACCCAATCATTGCAAAGTGTTGCCAGGATGCAGAGACCATGATTTGGACTAGAATTCAGCTACTTTCAATATATTGCAGTTACTTAGTTGATACCAAAGACTCTGACTAGCCATTAAGTGGCCAGTGGACTTTTCCAAGGAAACTGCACAGAGAGCATGGTGGCATCTTACTTGCTATGCATTGTAGGACTTTGAACCACAGAGCACACCTCTGAACAGCTGAAATTATAAAACAAAGCCCTGGAAGGCATATACTTGCATCCACCATTTTCACATTTCTCTGTTAGTCCAAAACATTTGCTTACTTTTTCTTCCTCTCTCCATCCTCAGCTTGCTTTGAAGGACACAGAAGAAATCTAATTCTCACGAAAAGATTGGTTTTCAAAATATGCTAAACATTTGGAGATTTATTAGAAACAGTTTTAGTTCCTCATTAATCTAGAGCAAATTGTTATT